AAAATTATTGTTTTCAATTTAATACTCGTGCTTTTCAAATAATATTTTTGTGAGCTTACAAAATTTATTAAGCAGATTCTTGACCAGAACTTTTTTAGATCTTTTCACCCCTATTATGAAGAAAGGTACGGAGAGCTTGAACCGCCAAGACTCCCAATCCGTTCCCAACCTTTGTATGCGCCTGGCACGGACGACTCAGCAACACATGATAAGACTGTATCTTCTACAAAACTTGAAGCTGCTACATAATAATAATAGTCAGACTTATTTATGCGTACATGATGTTCGCTAAACGTCGTATCGGTTTGTAGGAGGAAATGTTGCTTTGGAAGATTTTTGTATTGTACTTGTGCTACCTGTTATTTCGTGGTAAAATTCGTCGTGAAATAAAATATTATCACATAGAGTAATAATTTACCTTTTTCTATTCTTGATGGAAGTTTTCAGTTTATGGTAATGTAGCTTTTAAAGATTGTGGAAAACTTTGGATTACATAGCAGAAAAGAAAGAAGTTTGTGCTGTTTATTTAATAAAGTCTGGTTTTATTGTTATTTCTTTTCACTCAATTCTGTTACTGGTCTTTCTTTTGAGCTAAAGCTTCAACTATGTTCTGTTGATACTCAAGAAATTCAGAGGTTGGAATTTTAAAAAACGTGTCGATTTACCCAGTGAGTCAGATTTGGTTTTTAAAGTACCTTATTGGTCCGAGGTGACGTTGAACGTAGCCGCAGTGTTGTGCAATGATGGTTAAGTTTTACCTAGTTGTCATTATAGGGTGCAAGATTTTGCCTGTGGGGAATAGTATTAAAAAAAAGGAGAGGGATTATATATTTGTGCAAGCGTCAGCAGTGCGAGTTTGAGAAATGTGACATCATTGTGGGCATTGTTGGAAGTGTGTGGGTAGCTAGCTAACTGCTCGGTCATCCGTTCGTAAATGCGTTTTCCCCTGGTTGTTTGTCTGCAGTTTACGATCCTAGCAACGGGATATCTGCTTCTACCAGTGTCCGCTGCAGAATTTTCTCATTCTATGCTGATCAATATGAAATTATTTCGTAAAAGATTGCTGATTATCCTTTTTTCGCAAAGGCTATAAATAAGTAGTTTGTCAAATGGTTATTATAGAGTGTTTAGATTTGTTGCTGAATTTTTTTAGCAGTTGGAGTGTCAGATTTGTAAGGTATAAATCCTGCGGTTTCTGTGTTGATTGTCATTTCCTACTTTTTTGTAATCCAGACATAAAGTTTTCATAATATGGGTTTTAATTAATTGTAACGTTCATAGGCGTACACTTTTTTGTTATGACACAGCAGCTGCAATAGATTCATTATCTTATTTTCAGTCTTTACCTCCAGATGGTTTTACTTTACCTCCGGTAGAGGGAGCTTAATGTTCACCGGTGACAGCGATATCACGCAAGTCAGGTAAGATTTAATTGTGTAAAGTTAGCACATTACATACTATTTTTGGACTAATGAGGCTCACTTATATTAGGGCAACTGATAATGAGGTTCTGCAAGTGAATTTTATTCATATTTCTTTGTTCACTGATGCCCATTGTAAGTTTTATAACTTTTTTTATTCAGAGAAGTTTTTTGATAAAAATTTAGTTTAATTTGTTATAGCATCGATGGTAGTAGTGGTAAAGATGCTTTACTAACCAGCCTTTTCATTCAGCTGATTCAAGATGCTTATGAACAGGTTTCTTATTCACTTCGGAATACGGCTGAATTGATCAATGAAATTTTTGATGTTGAGGTGACCTTGAGTTCTTATTAATTGCTTCAGTTTCACTATTTTTCTATTGACCTAGTAATTGTTCAGTAAATTGTTTGCAAACACTCAGTTTCTTGGTTAGCTTTTATAATAATATTCAAAGCACTTTTTTTACAAAGATCTTTCAGACTGAACAGTGCGCATCAACATATCGGTTCCTTCTGTCTAGCAGAAAGCAAGCTTCATACTATTCCTGCAATTTCAAACTGAAGAACTGTCACTTTGAGCTGCAGGACCGCAACGAAATTATGCGACGCTTACTAGAAGCAATACAAGTAGCGTTTAAACGTTGAAAACTTGATTTGAAAGACGAGATTTTTGGGACTGAAAGCAATTTTTTTAATGCAAACTTTTTTCAGCGATGTTGTGATGATCTTGCAATGATAATGTTGTGTCGCTTACTTCACGGATATTTAACGAGGTGTAAACAGGCTGGTTAGTTTTTTTTACACTATTGCATGTGGTTCTCTCTTTATATAAATGCATGGTGTTCTTTCAGTCATTTATGGCTTGTTATATAATTAGTAATATTTCAGCTTTTCTCCGAAGACAACGGCGACTTCTTCGTCTCGATGCTGTTAGTTGTTTGATTAAGGCTCTTAGGTCATTTTTACGTTCTGCAGAACCAGCCCCGCTGCGTCTTGTGGCCATTGATGCTATTTCAGCACTTCTGCTACTACTTTCTTGCAGAGGTACGAACTGCTCCTGCTAGCAACAGCACTGGTAACAAAGATGAGGCTTTTTTCCAATAGATTAGGTTCATTTGAAAGTCACTTGACGGGAAACTTGGGTTTTTTGGTGTTAGTCAGTTTTTTTTAGACAGACGCTTTTGCTTGAAAATTCGTCTAGGAGGTTTAATCAGTCGTTTCCGTACGCGTTTACTTTCTTCTGTGGAATTTCTTTCAGTTACACTTCTACGCGTTATCTGTAAAAGCGTTCGCTCAAGTAAGGTTTAACATTGATTTTTTAATCATTTGAATTTTCTGTGAGGTAAAGTTGTGTCTTTCAAACGCATTTTTTTCGCATCTTTGCTGTTTTTTGTCAAAAATTTGTTGTTGGCCACATCACGTTTTTGAATTTCGTAAGTCAGAACTTTTTTAAAATTTGTTTTCTACTTTAAGTTTCACAGTTTCTTTTCTTTCTTCTTCGTTTTTTCTCCTTAATTAGTGTTCTTCTTCTACGATTTATGGAGAAGTTTTGAGAGTGGGACATTCAAATTTCTCTAAAACAGCATGTGGGAAAGCTTTTCTTTTTCTAACGCTACCTCACACTCATCGTTGTATATACATCATTCTCTGATCAACACTAAAACATATATATAAGTTTGATACGGTTACTTCATTGATTTTTTACTATGACTTAGCAAGTAGTTCGTGCGTTTCAAAGGAAGATTTTGCATTATTATTTTAATTAGCTACTGGGGGACGCTTCTTTTCAAACATTTAGCTTACCGTCAAAGTTTTTAGGAAGATTAGGGCTGAAACAGGGCACGATAGCTACATTACTAAATCTATTTCATCTGTACCTTTTTTCTTCAAATGTAATATGCAATCGAAAACGAAAGCTTTGATGCTCGAAAGAATCTTTTAATTTACCAAAAATCAGTTAACTGTTATGAAAATAGTTACGCGGTCATCAAGGAAAGGAGTTTTGGAAGTTACTGTCTCTGTGTTTTTTATTGAAAAAGCAGAAAGAACTGGATAATTGCAAATGTGCTGTTTCAAACGCACTTTTGAGTGGATGTTTTCATCAGAAAATGTACTTCTTTCTAATTGGTATATTTGCAGAGTTGGCTGTAATCTTCTACTTGTTTTTATTTTTGGATACAATGGGTATTTATATGTATGTTTAGAAAACGTTTTGAGTTTTTAAGTTTTTAAAAATTAAAATATCACAATGTTTGTGTAACCTTGGAAACTCTGTTAGCAAGTCGTTATGCTATTATTATCAACAGCTACTATTTTGCCAACTGTTTAGTCTGGAGCTGTTTTTTTCAGGACTTTAAATTCAAGGTGAATCAGTTTTTTATTGAAAGACCAACTAATTTATCAAACATTTTTGGTTCTTGAGAGGTTTTATTAATTAATAGGTGGCTTTTCAGAATGACCTTACGTAGGCGTCACTAAATCAGTGTACATTCTGATACTTGTTAGAAATAGTGGTGTAGTTAAGAATTTTTTTTGCTACTTGGAGAGAACATTTTGGGAAGAAATATCACGTCGAGATACGCGTGTTAGATGGAAAATCAACGGATGTAGTTGTTCTGAGAGAATAAAAACACATTGTGTTTCTCACTAATGCTTACTTGTTTGAACTGTCGTTTAAAAAAGCATTCATCACCTGATCTAATGACGGGGCCCTTAACAGACTAGGCTGATTATGTTTGTTTAAAAAGATAAATTTTTTTTTCAGCTTTCTTGCAATGTGGTTTTTCTCTGTTTTGATTTTATCTTTATTTTTTTTTATTTTTTTGTTTTTTTTTTGTTTTGCTCAACAAATGGTCTTCGGGCAAAAAAAACTACCTTTTTTTTTTTTTTCTGAAGATGGTTTCTATTTGTCATTGTGCTATTTAGTTCATGAAAAAAATTATTTTTGCTTATCCATGCAGGGTAATGCGGCAAAAATTTTACTAATACAGTAATGATTAAGAGAGTACCGTTTGCTGCCCATGTTTACAAGTTGCAGATGTAGTTTGCGGTTTAGTACTGATTGAGTGGAATAAGTAAAGCAAAAGAAACTTTTGTTTGTCTTGTGAAGTGCTAAAAAGATTTTGTATTCAAACATCTTGTTGAATTGAAAAAAAAAAGAAAAGAAGCTTTGCAGTTTGTTTACCAATCTTGTTTAGTTAATTTCTTTTGATTGTTACATAATTGGTGGTATAATTGCATTATTATCATTACTATTTCACAGTCTAGACATTGATGAACTTGACATAAGCATATTACATTAATTTACCTTTCCATGAATATGTAAACTTCTTTTTTTTTGTCTTTTATTCTTAGTTTTTTTTACATTATATTTACAAAGAATTGTTAGCTTCGACCATACAGTTTATGTGCTATAAACATTTTGAAAATGAGGATTTTAGCAGAAAATTCTTTAATTTTTTGCAACAAAGTGAGCTTTAAAATTGCAATCTAGTTAATGTGCGATCTCTAGGCAAAAAAAAAATTAGTGCTGAAAAAATAAATGCCAACTCTATAATTTTTTTCTGGTTTGTTGACCTCGGTTCTTAGGTGAAGATTGGTAAACCACTAAATCAAACTGATTTGCGTAATTGCACTGTATTTGTTGCATAACAGTTTTGTTCCAGAAAAAAAAAAAAAAAA